AATGATCCGAGGGCTGGAGCACCTCTCCTATGAGGACAGGCTGAGAGAGTTGGGGCTGTTCAGCCTGGAGAAGAGAAGGCGCCGAGGAGATCTTATTGCAGCATTCCAGTACTTAAAGAGGGCCTACAGGAAAGCTGGAGAAGGGCTTTTTACAGGTGCATGTAATGACAGGACAAGGGGTAATGGATTTAAACTGAAAGAGAGTAGATTTAGATGAGATATAAGGAGGAAATTCTTCACTCTGAGGATGGTGAGGCACTGGAACAGGTTGCCCAGTGGAGTTGTGGATGCCCCATCCCTGGAAGGGTTCAAGGCCAGGCTGGATGAGGCTTTGAGCAACCTGATCTAGTGGAAGGTGTCCCTGCCCATGGCAACGGGGTTAGAACTAGATGTTCTTTAGGGTCCCTTCCAACCCAAACCATTCTATGATTCTATGAATTCAATTGTGCCATACACACTACTGCCATACATTTAAACAACCACCTTTTTGAAGATGTGGGATATGTAGCATCCTTCTACAAGTTCTAGCAGGTCCAGGGAGTGTAGGGCCCATTTTCACCTGTGTTCAGAAGGGGTACCATAAGGAGAAGTCATGCTACTAGTTTTTCTGCTTTGATTACACTCAGGGCAAGGAGAGATTTAAGTAGAAGGCTTTGAACAACCTGATCTAGTGGAAGGGGTCCCTGCCTGTGGCAGGGGATTGGAACTAGATGATCTTTGAGATCCCTTCCAACCCAAACCATTCTATGATTCTATAAGCAATAAAGGTCTCCTGAAGTGTGGTCAGCAGCAGGAAAAGCAGTCAACTCTGGTGGATGGTGAAGGGAGCAAGACCTGTCTAATAGCTAGTTTTTGGATTGCTCTACTGCCATCCCCGTTTCTATGCTCAGTTCTTCGGACTATACCCAGGTCCAGCCTTCCTGGACCATCTTTCAACATCACCCTGACAAAAAACATATATATTTAGAAACGGACACACAAAACAAGAAGCCCAACCTGACATGGTGGTTTGATGCAGAGACAGCTTGTCTGCATGCAGAAATGTGGCTCCTACCTCTCGAGCCCCTGGTGCAAGCAGCAGCACTTCAGCAGGGCGCAGACCGTGTATAACAGCAGCAGTGTGCTCAATCCCCATTCGATGCTTAATCTAAACTACCTTCGCTCAATATACTGCTGGACATCGTTTCGATCTTTTAAGAATTTTTAAAGCCTACATGAGACAAAACCCTGGCTAAGTGGAGAGAAGCCAACTGTTTTTCCATAAACCCAGAAGAAATGAATATATTCTTTTTCAAAGTATTGGGAAATCTAGGTTCATTGTCGATGGCTTTTTTCCAGTTTCACCTCGGAAATGAACGTGTAAGCCCTAACATTTGAGCAGTGCCCTGCTGCTGTAACTCCAGCGAACGCAACTCCTATGTTGGAGATTTATCCCCACGTAACTTCAAGCCTAAAATCTTCCACCTTCCCAATACGGTGGAGTTCTGTGACTATCAAATTATTTTACTATTATTTGACTGACATGAATGCATAAGATCTTTGAGGTTCCTTCCAACCCTAACCATTCTATGATTGTATGATTCTATAATGCTCACTTCGTTTATTTTTAAATATTTATCAAATCAGCTGCTTGTGTACTGAGTTATTAAAAAAATGTTACCAAGCCGACAATTTCCAATTCTCCAAATGATTCCAGCACAACAGACATGACTTATTCAGTGGGCGTACTCCAAATAGTGCTTGTGTTTACTCTTCTTGATAGATGTCTAAATATTAAAAGAGAAAGAAACTCTTTGAATTGTGCTGAGGCAATATTGAAAGTTCCTCTCTGCTCTATCGCCTTGCCAGGGCGTACCATTGTATCTCCTGTTTCTCTATCCCACCTCTAACCCTGTTTCCCAACTCCCCGTATTACAACTTTGTTTTCTTTACTCGGTTCACAGGTAAGGCTGAGAACACGCAATTGAATGACACAAGCTTTCTTTTATTAGTGTTATTCACACCCTGACCCGTGAATGAGCTGATATTAGGCCTGCACATAATGGTATGCTGCTTTACTGGTAATTGAGAAATAAGATGAAAAACAGAGGGATTTTTTGTGTGTTTCTTTTGGTCCAAAGAGAGGGAGACAAAATGTTCACTGAGATTATAGTAAAGCATGCTCTGAAACAGAAATTTCTGTAGTTTATTGTCGAGGATGCAAGGATGACTGTTCCTATTCTTTTTCCTTTTTTAGCAGTTACGAATCTTTAGGCATTTGAGGGAAAAATATGAGGCCACAAACTTCCACATGTAGACAAAACCAGGTAGCAGAGACCAGCTACACAAAGGGAGCTTGTCAGCACAATTCAGAAAGGGGTTAAAAAATTGAAGACCTCCAGTTTAAAGAGAAATGGCCTGTCAAGAGAAGGAACCACAGAAGAAAGAAAAAGGACAGGAAAGCCAAGATTAGTGTGAACAGAAGATGTAGAGAAGTAGATGGAACTGAATGTCAGACTAGCAATGAGAGAAATGACTGTGGAGGGATCTGGCCACTAACTCTCATATCAAGCCCAGAGGAAGATAAATACAACATTAATCACCAATTTACAGACATCTCCTATGCTTTGTCTCCCATGTCTCCACATTTTGTTAAGACATAGAAATGTAAATATTTATATATTTTACAATCATTTAGTTTGAACAAAAAAGGTGTGTCAGCCAGCCACACAAACTTCCTCTGAATTTCTTCTCTTTTGCAATACATAAGCCATTAATTTGATTGATTTGCTTCAACATTTTTTTGCATAAAACTCTTCCAGCTGCAGGTAGGCATATAACCTCATAAACAGAGAGAGAGCCAGGTATGGAAATGAGGTTTCATCACTGCCTCTTTTAAGAAGCCTCAGTGTTGGACTCAAAGACCTCATTCTGAAGTTAGTCAATTCAGATGAATTGCCCCCCTCCAAAAAATGAATGGGTGTCATTCACATATCTTGTAACCTAACTGGAATCTGTCCTCCAAATAGATTAGTCTTGTGCTCTTTATAACCTTTTCATTTGAGAATTTACTCAAAAGAGGCTCCAGTGTCTACCTGCTCTTGGTAGGTTCTACCAACACTACCTGCATGCTGCACTGACAGCAAGATGCAATTTCTAGTATTTCATGTAGTAATAGGTTTCTCCTTTGTGAAGACAAACGCCAACTCCACAGTA